CAAAAAATGATGTAAGTGTTAAATATATATCGGATTTTCTGCGGCCGTGACATTTTAAAACGGTCCTGGACCTTTAAAGTGGACCTGTACCCCCTTTTCATTAAAAAAAAAAATCACATCAGTGTGCAGCTCTGCATGCTGATATGAAATCATCTTACATGCATTAGATAAACATATTGTTCTTTTACTTACAATTACTGTTTTTCCACTTCCTGGTCCTCTTGGGCATTAGTGATGTGCCCAAGCGTTGCATCCTGGGAAGGTTACATCAGCAGAGCATTGCTGGGAAATCACATCTGTAATCTCACGAGATCTCAGGGAAAGGCGTTTTCCTCACCCTGAGATGATGGATATGGTCACATGTGTAAGAGTTCCAGGAAGTAAAGGGAGATATATTAATCTGCCCTCAGTAAACATGGCCGCTGTGAAGAATGGGGAAGTAAAGATAAATAAGGAATGTAAAGAATACAAAGCCGGCAATTATCTAGAAGTATCTGATTGTAGATTGTCATTACTAAACATTCCTAAAGTTGTCTTTGTTGTCATTTTAAAGATCTGGGTGAAGTTCCTCTTTAAGAAAGCTGCTCCAAGCTTGATACTACACTTTCACATTGTGATTTCTGAAAACAAATATCGCCGGTGTGTTTAGGGTTCGGGTCTCACTTAGGGGCCTATGTATGAAGATCAGCAAATAATCGCATTTAAAAAGGTAAGACTGAAAAAAAGACACCGAGTCAAGGAAAGCTTCGTCTCCAGATCCCCCCTTTAAGATCCTCCAGATCCCCATATAAGATCCTCCAGATCCCCATATAAGATCCTCCAGATCCCCCATATAAGATACTCCAGATCCCCCATATAAGATCCTCCAGATCCCCATATAAGGGTCTCCAGATCCCCCATAGAAGAGTCTCCAGATCACCCATAGAAGAGTCTCCAGATCCCCCCCATATAAGTCTCCAGATCCCCCATATAAGTCTCCAGATCCCCCATATAAGTCTCCAGATCCCCCATATAAGTCTCCAGATCCCCCATATAAGTCTCCAGATCCCCCATATAAGTCTCCAGATCCCCCATATAAGTCTCCAGATCCCCCATATAAGTCTCCAGATCCCCCATATAAGTCTCCAGATCCCCCATATAAGTCTCCAGATCCCCCATA